ATACATAATTAATGTTAAATGAATTACAAATAATTTAATAATAAAATAGAAATTAATTGGTTCTAAATTATTAATCTCAAAGGTGACACGTCTCCAAATTATGCTGTACTTAATAAATATGTATGAAATATAAATAATAATAAAAAAAGAATAAAAATAAAAGTAATTAAAAACAATATGTATCTAAATTAATAATATGATCTACATTTCACATCTAATCTAATTAGCACAATATTAAGAAGTATTAAATGTAGATCTGTATTAAATTCTACATGTTATACAAGAAAATGATAAACATAACACGAAAAAGAATAAATATGATACAAGAAATTACAAGGGTATGTGAAAATTGTTACATTATATTTGCTTTCTGTATATACTTATTATTTTCAATTTTTATTATTTTTTATCAAATAGGATTTTTTCTATTTTAATGAATAATATATATAATTTATATATAAATATATTTGATATTGAAATTTTATAGATAGTCATATTATTAATTTTAAATGAGAATTTTATTTTATTTTATTTAAAAATATATTTTATTAATATTATTTAATTCCAATTAGCTTTGTTTATTATATGTATATATTTTTTATTTATTATAAAATAATGCAAAATAATACTATTATTACTATTTTAATTATAAATATTAATAAACTTGCAAATAATAATAAAGCTTTATTAAATAAATTATTTAATAATTTTGATCAATTTGTAAATGAATTGCAAAATATAATTTTATTAATTCCAATAAATTATTATTATTCAATACTATACCAATTATTTGTAAATATCTATTTTATGAAAATCTAATCATATATATTGAATAATATATTCTATCAGATACTAATTTTTACAATAAAGTTCAAAAATTTGGAAAGCAATTGCAATAGTTTATCTAAAGCAAAAACTGATTCACCAGAAAAATATCAGAATACTGAAACATATCCAAGAAAAACAAAAAAATATAATTGTAATTCAGAGATATTGTTATTATAATTTTTAATTTTGGCATATTACAACTGATATAAAATATATTTTTTATATCAATTATATTTCTGGTTTTAATATTAATATAGAAATATTAAAAATTTTGTGATTGAATTGCAAAGCATATTCAAAATGGATTGAATATTAAAGAAATTAATCAATTATTTCAAAAACAAGATATAAAAAATCCGGCAAAAACAAATTCAAAAGATATTATTCAAAATCAGAATCATATTGTAATGTGCAGTGATATTTATAATATTTGAAAAAAGATAATAATAGAAGAACAAATATTATATAAATCAAATGTCAAAGTTTAGAACTTTGGTGAATTCAATTGAAGCAGAATAATAATCTTATCTGTGCAATTTCTTGATTAGAAGACAATACTTATTATGATAAAGAAAGACTTTTAGTTTTACTTTTCTTATTAAAAAGAAATTATTAATAATGTTTATATTATTCTTCTCAATATAACATATAATACGAATAAAAACAAAGATCTTTTATATACATTACTTTTATCTGACCCCAAAACTGGCAAAGGTATTTTGCTTGCTCATCTTCTCTCCTTTCATAAATTACAGAATTAATTTACTATTGGTTTTATTTGTTTTTGTAAACATAATCTGATTACTATTTTTGGTATTATTGGAATTACGAAACAACCGGATCCGTGAGGCAACTTTGAATACATCTTATCACGTATTCATCAGAACCAGTGCTTTTGGAAGCTGCACTTGAGGAAAATAGTGAACTTGAAGCTCTGAGAGAACTGGATGGAACCTTTCAATCTGGTGGTATTTTGGAGGCGGGATGCCAGGACGAGCTGGTCGCAAGATTGTTGAGTGTCTGGCTTCGCTTGATATGCCGCGAGAGGAAGCAAACTGGAGTATGCATTAAGTGTTCTGATCAGTCATGACTTTGTCATTATTTGTCAGCTTAACTTTTTTTTCCAGCAAAGGGTATCATTTTCAATCCGTCGGCTGGTCCTCAACTTTCTCGATGAACTTATTGTGAATTTTCCAAGGGAGAAATTTTCACACTCTTTTTCGATGTAATAGATTTTGTCACTTGTACATAGTCTTCGAGTCACAAACTGTGTCCTATGCTAATGCATGGAATGCACGGATATATACCCTAGCCCAAGTATTGAGCCACTACTACAGTGGTTATGCGATTGCACGGATATATACCCTAGCCCAAGTATTGAGCCACTACTACAGTGGTTATGCGATTGTCACAACACAAATACAAAGTCAGAGGCCCTATCGTCTCAATAGTAGAAACAAAATTTTTGCATAAGAAAGTATACTCGTAACAAGGACCTGGGTAGTTGATCTATCGACGCAAAAGGAACCCTTACACACTAATAATATAAAAAACTCGAAATCATATATACCCGGTTCGTTGTTGTTAGAACAGGCGCATTATACTCTGCTGGTAAGGTCAAATTTTGTTCTTTTTCGAGCCTAAGTGTTTTATTATAGCGAACGTGACGCGACTCCTCCTTGGATGGCTTCTCTTGCGACATAATAATGGGAGATATACAAATACAATACGTACTATTCGACGAGCCGTTAAGGATCATTGTTCAGAATCATCTCTAACGTTAATGTTTTTTTGATGCTGGCAAATTAAAAAAATATAATTTTTATCCTTTTAATGTGATTCTATGACGATAACGCATATATAAAGTCATGCTTACCAGTTTCATCTAAGAACGAGCATGATATTGGAAGTGTTTCATCATGAAGTTGTTGTTCTTGAAAGAAACTCGATAGATCTCCATTCTCGTTAATTTCTGCCACCAAAAGAAAAAACAGCGATGAATTAATAAAGTCAATAAAAAAATACTATTAAATATAATTTTACCTTCGTTTGGAACAAGCAAACTGACACTTGAAATTCCTAGACATTCGATATGAATTTTAATCAATATGAAACGTCAATGTGATTTATATTTAGAAATAAAAAATACCTGTGTTAGTTGGGATTGAAATCAATTTTGAAGTAAAGATTCGACTGGTGTAAGCTGCATTTGAGTGGATTTGTTGTTTTTTGCTCGCCGGAAGGCTTTTTTGACATTTCTTCTCTTCCCATTTCTGCCTTTCTAGTTTGAGACACTCTTTAATTTCTCCATGTGTTTGAGGATATTCTAAAGAGCTGTAATGCTGAAAATGTAAAGTATTCA